GCTGTAGCGCCTCGGGTCCATGAGGCTCAATAGCTTGCCTTAACAAAAAGATGGGATCAGGAGCAGGAGGAGGAGGGAGGGGACAGGGAGGAATGGCAGGGGCAGCAGCGGCCGCAAGGCGCGAGAAGGGCGCGCGGGCGACGTCGCAGCTGCGATCGGCAGACGGGCAATCCTGATCCTCCGAGGGGGTCCGAGCTGCTCTAATATTCTTCGAAGAAGCTTCGAGGATCCTCCTCTTCCTCCTCCTCCTCCTCCTTCGTCTCCTCCTCCTCCTCTTCCTTCACCTCCTCCTCCTCCTCCTCCTCCTCATCCTCTTCCTCCTCCTCCTCCCCCTCCTCCTCCTCCTCCGTCTCATCCTCCTCTTCCTCATCCTCCTCCTCCTCCTCCTCCTCTCCCTCCTCCTCCTCCTCCTCCTGCCCCTCCTCCTCCTCCTCCTCCTCCCCTCCCTCCTCCTCCTCCTCCTCCTCCTCCTCCTCCTCCTCCTCCTCCTCCTCCGTCCCCTCCTCCTCTTCCTCCACCCTCTCCTCCTCCTCCGTCTCCTCCTCCTCCTCCTCCTGCCCCTCCTCCTCCTCCTCCTCCTCCTCTCCTCATCCTCATCCTCCTCCTCCGTCTCCTCCTCTCTTCCTCATCCTCCTCCTCCTCCTCCTCCTCCTCTCCTCCTTCCTCCTCCTCCTCCCTCCTCTCTCCTCCTCCTCCTCCTCCTCCTCCTGCCCCTCCTCCGCCTCCTCATCCTCTTCCCCTCCTCCTCCTCTCCTCCTCCTCCTCTCCTCATCATCATCATCATCATCATCATCATCATCATCGGACAGACGGCCAGCGCCGCTCGCACATCCCTCTGGGCCCCATTCTCCAGACCCTGCTCGCCCACTGCTCTCCTCGATCCTCCCAAGTCCTCCTCGTTCCTCTGCCTTCCCCCCTCCCCCAGCCCTCCTGGATCCTCTGCACACGCACCCGACAGGGCTCGAGCTAAACGGTGCTCTCGTTGTCGTTATGTGCTCGTTGTCCTTCGCTCTGTCTTCGTTCTGCCCTTGCTGCGAAATGAAATCAGAGCGAAAACGACCCACGAATTCGCGTAAACACTGTTTGGCTCGAGACCTGGCACTCGAATCCCATCGCCAGTTCATTCCCAACCGCGGGGCAGCCAAAACGTACCAGCACCGATACTCCCGGAGCCTCTCCCGTGGCGGCTCCAGCTGTGGCGGCGAGGGCACCCCCCAGGAAGCCCTGAGGAGACGAAGACTGGTACCTAGTCTCCTCGTATCGATGCATCCTCCTCGATACCATCATCCGACCGCCCTCTGGCCTCCAGGTCCTTCTCACCTCCTCGTCTGGCGAGGCGCACGCACAGGCGATGTGGAATTCGCGTGGCAAGCGCGCCTCCACAACAGGGAGCAATCGTCAATTCAAGCAGCAGCAGGAAGAGTGACGTCAAGATCATCCACCTCCGCCTCCAACTCCTTCTCATCATCGACCACCTCCCCCTCCTCCTCCTCCTCCTCCTCCTCCTCCTCCTCCTCCTCCTCCTCCTCCTCCTCCACCCTGTGCTCCTCCTCCTCCTCCTCCTCCCTGTACTCCTTCATCCTCCTCCTCCTCCTCCTCCTCCTCATCCTCCTCCTCCTCCTCCTCCACTCCCCAATCCCCTCGAGTTGCGCCACGTGAGGAGACATTGCCAGCAGGAACCGCCCACCCGACGGAGTGGGCAGCGAGCCCCGACGTCTCACTTGCAGCGATCCGCCGGCCCCCGCCCGCCGAGGGCCACCCGGCGTGCGAGATGCTCGGCTGCGCTGCCCTGCTCCAGTGGACGGTGCGGTCGATGCGTCGAGCGCCGAGAACGCAGCACGGAGCTGCTCGCTGACGCTGTCGCCGCCGCCTCGCGAGCTCTTGGGCAGGAGACGCCCGGCTGCCCCCCCCCCCCTCCCCCCCCCTCCGCAGCCCCCGCCCCAGCGAGGGCTCCGCGGAGGGCCAGCCGGGCCATCGACCGCCCCCCCGCTCCCACCCAGAATCGAGGAAGGGCGGGGGCTGGAAGCAGGGAGGGAAGGCGAGGGCCCGCTCCGTCCGCCGCCCTCCCTTGGGCGCTGGCGGAGTGGCGCAGGCCTGAGGACAGAACGAGGCGCACGTCTCTTGCCATCGCTTGGACGTCCGTTCCCCGTGCACTCTTGTGGCTTCGCGCGCTTGTGTGGGTATGAGTGTGTGTGCGTGCGCGTGTGCAGATCCGTATCCGTATGTGTATGTGATGTGTATGTGCATGTGCATGTGCACGTGCATGTGCATGTGCTTGTGTATGTGCATGTGCACGTGCATGTGCTTGTGCTTGTGCACGTGCACGTGCACGTGCATGTGCGTGTGCATGTGCATGTGCATGTGCATGTGCATGTGCTTGTGCATGTGCATGTGCATGTGCATGTGCATGTGCATGTGCATGTGCATGTGCATGTGTATGTGTATGTGTATGTGTATGTGTATGTGTATGTGTATGTGTATGTGTGTGTGCGTGGGTGCATGTGTGTGTGTGTGTTAGCTCTTGCTCCTAATCCTCCTCCTACGCGTTCTTTCCTTCATCGGCCCAAAAGGCTGCGGAGAAGACAAGGGAGCAGAGAGGGAAGTGAGGCGGATGCATGCAAGTGCGGAGGGATGGGGGCAGAGAGACTAACTACGCTTCACCTTAGTGAATTCGCGTTTGTGTGTGGGTGTGGCTGTGTGTGGGGGGGGGGCGTGCGTGTGTGTGTGTGTATGGGGGGGGAGGGGGGGGGGAGGGGGGGTGTGGGGGGGGCCTGGGTGTGTGGGTGTGTGGTGTGGGTGTGGGTGTGGGTGTGGGTGTGGGTGTGGGTGTGGGTGTGGGTGTGGGTGTGTGGGTGTGGGTGTGGGTATGTGGGTGTGTGTGTGTGTGTCTGTGTTTGTGTGTGCGTGCGTGGGTGTGTGTGTGTGTGTGTGCGTGTGTGGGTGTGTGGGTGTGTGCGTGTGTGCGTGTGAGCGTGTGTGTGTGATGTACGTGAGGTGTGTGTGATGTGTGATGTGTTTGCTGTGTGTGGTACTTGTGATGTATGTGATGTGTGTGATGTGTGTGTGTGTGCTATGTGTACGTGTCCGTGTCCGTGTCGGTGTCTGTGTCTGTGTCTGCGCGATGGATAGAGTGTGTGTGTGTGTGCGTGATGGTGTGTGTGTGTTTTGTATTGTGCGTTGTGTGTTGTGTGCAGTGTGTAGTGTGATGTGTATGTGCGAAGGTAGGTGTGTGCATGTGTGCGTGTGTTTTACGGAAGATGATCCAGGATGTTCCTCGATGGTCCGCCACGAGGAAAAATGCACACGTCCGAGCGATGCCAAGGTCGACCAAACTCGGCGGGACGCCGCAGCCGCACGCTCGAAGCGCACGCGTCCGAAGGGGGCGGGCGGCCAGTGTCGTGCGGGGCTGCGGCGGGGCCGCCGGGCAGCGGCCCGCGGCTGCCGGGCGGGTGGCGACAGGAGGTGACCCGAGTGAGGCCCTACAAAAGGGGCCTGTGAGGGCCCAGCAGTGGCCCTAGAGGGGCCCCGAGGGCCCCTCCAGGGCGCCGTCAGGGCCCAATAGGGGCCTCGTCTGGATCACACCCCATGGCCACCCCACCGAGGTTCTTCGCCCTCTCCCCCCCCGCTCGGTCCGCTTCCCTGCCGGCCCGCTCCGCTATTCCCCCGTCCGCGGATCAAAGGTGGGGTCCTGAGGGATGGGGGGTCCTATGGCGCGTTCGCGCGGCGTTGGCGCGCGCCAAGATGTTTGAGACCGCATCGATCGTTCACCCTTGAATCGATCGCGCTCCCGATCGTTCAGGGTTGTCAGGTCCAGCGGTATCACCGGATGCCTCGGCGCTTCCGCGTCGCAGAATTCAACTTTCAACGCCTTCGCTGGCGTCGCTGGCGCGCCAACGCCGCATGAACTTACCGTAAGGGTAGGAAGGGGTGCAAGGGTGGATTTACCCTGTTTGAGGCACCTCGTCCTGGGGACCTCCATCCCTCAAGACCAGATCGTTGAACCACCGACCCTGCACGTGGGCCACCTCGCGTCCGGCGTGTCCGCCAGCTGCGTGACGCCGAGCACGACCGCTGCGAGCAGCTCCAAGGCTGTTGCGCGACGCACTGCGCACACAATCATCTGCACGGACGAGAGACACTTCCGCCAACGCTATCTGCCTCCACCAGCTCCACCAGCCCTCTGGGCGCAGAAGAATCAGAACAGCTTTCTCCGCACTCTGGCGCCCCTTCGTGGAGGGAATTACCACTCTACCACTCCAGGGTATGGACGTGCATGTGACGGGGCGTCCAAGATCGCACTAGATGACTCACGAGAGTAGCCGAAGATGGCATCCGAGACGGTTATGGATCCTAGGGCCACCGGAAGCTTTGACTCTAACAATCGATCGAACTTCTCGATGGACGCGGTCGGCCGCACAAACAGCTGCACATTCGAAGAATACGCCGCCAAGTATCGAAAACACTCTTCTCTCCGAGATCCGTCGGGAGGCCCTCTGGCGGATCTCTGGAGGTAACCCGAAGTGTCCGAAGCATTAAACACAAAATGCCTAGGATTTCAAACGATAACATACGAGAACGGCGCCCATGCACCGTACCATGCTTGGACTCCGTTCAGGCCCCGCTCCAAGGTGGTACTGTGCACAGTTTTTGGGCTCCTGAGGACCGTTAAAGTATGCACCGTACCATTCCCGGGTCGAAGATCGACAACGCCTCGGGAGACGACACTGCGGTACGGTGCATACATATCGTCCTCGGAAAACAAGCGGCATAACCATAAACTTTCGGAACTCCGCACGGATTTCTTGGATCTGCGCTGGCCCGCCTCCCTGGCGCGCCAGGGACGGCGCCAGAGGCGCCGCTATGGGGGGCCCAGCGCCGAGCCAGGACACCCGCGCGGATCTCCGAAACTATATGTTTTGATACTGCTCTCTGTTCTTCGACAGTCGATCCCTGGTGCCCGGGAAGGAGAGCGGAAGCCCCGAAGATCCCAGAATCGGCCC